TATTGAGACAATATTTTACAAAGGCCATGTTCACTATCAGTGTTTTAATGTCACTATTCAACCTGTTCTACTTCTGACAATGTTCTTTACATCATGTTTTCAACAGTTGGTAATCAACATATATATTCAATCCACATATATAAAAATAATTTTTTTCATTGAAATACTTTTTCTCAGCACAGTTAAAAGAGAGACTTAATTATATCCATGTTTCCTAAAGCAAAGGCATATAGACACTGTGGGTGGTTCTTGAAACCCTTCCCTCCCTCTTCTTGTGGTGGTCCCTAAGTATCTGGCAGCAGGAACAGCTCACATATATGGCTACAAATGCTGAGTCTGAAAATCATATATTCTCTGTGTTCCCACGGCACAAAGCTCAGTTACGGATGTCACCATAGACAAGCAATCACCACAAATACCATGAAGCTTCCAGTTGAATGAAAAGTCAATGGAAAAGAGAAAACCATAGAGGAAAAAGGAAAAAAAAAAAGTTCAACAGATGGAGAAAAACAGAAAGAAAGAGAAGCTCATATTGATTGTGTTGCACTGACAAAAAGACACAGCTAATGTCACCAATGCATTAATTCATGAAAGAGTGGGGAAAATTACTTTTTGAAAACAAGAATGAAAAAGGTTGAAAACAACTTGCTTCGCCAATATCTATTATGTCTTTAAGCATATCTTTGATGAGAAGCTACTTTTTTTTTCCTTTGTTCTGAAAAATTAAATAGATCTAAACTTCGATAACACTGAATAAAATCTGAAAATCCAGATGTGGAAAAGAGTTTGCTATAATTTTCTAGTATACCTTTGATAATGTATTCTATTTTGTTACAACATTACTTTAATGCCTTGACCACAGTAAGTATAAATTGTGGATCAAGTCAAAACATGTAAGTTTACAAGAACAAAAATTAGAAAATACCAAAAAAGGTCCAAGGAGTACAATTTCTAATATGAAATTCAAACAGTCTTGACCACAAGCTGTTTTTCCTTCAGAAACTGTTTCATCAAGATTTTCCTGTGGAAAGAGACTGTATTATCATTTCCTAGATCACGTACTGAAGTTAAAGCAACATTATGGCCAGAAGTATCCATTTTTTGGCCGGTGAGAGAGAAGAAGAGTAATGAGGAGCCTAGAACTTGACTTCAGAGTGCCTGGTGTTTGCACACTTAAAGCCGCAGAGCTCTCACCGATTCCAAGTACGAGCAAGCAAGCTGTTCAGCAGAACACTCACATTGATCACTGGAATTTTCTGGTGCTCCTGTCTATAAAATGGGTGGTTTTGTAACACTCAGCTTGCCTAGTATCACATATGAATGAACTCCCTAGGGGAGAAAGAACTGAATTCAATTCCCAAAGGCAGTATTCAGCTGCCTAAATTACAATACTTCCTGAAGCACATTAATTCCCTGTCCATGACTTCAACAACCAGGACAATGATTTTTCACTGCACAGCCCTGACACTAAAACATGCTCAGCCTGTGCAGGAAAACAAGTCTTACAGAAAACAAAGGGAGATGAGAGGTGGAGAGTGATTATAAGCTGTATAATGATCACTGTGCATGTGTATGGAAATTAAGATTGTGCGGGCAGTCTACAAATCTGATACCTCCTAAATTTCAAGTATTCAACTTCAAATGGATACAACTACTTTAGAAGAAAACCATCTATGCATAGTTTCCCAGGTTTCCAGAAAATGCTTGCAAGTTAAGTTCTCATATGCCCATAAAATGGATAGAAACACTCAGCTCTACAATCTCCTCTGCATTTTGAACTGATGGAACATCTATTGACAGAGAAAGCTTGTTAAACTCTCAGTGAACCAGCAACAGAGAGAAGATGAGTTGACGGAATGGGTTTCACGGAGACTTCAGCAGCACAGATGTGCTGAGGTTCTGTAGTCTCAGGAGTCTAGTCCACTTGCTGGAAAAGGAAGAAGTATGTCCTTGTAATGGCTGCTAACATTTCTATAGGCAAAACTCAAAAGTGGCACTATGCAGTCTGGTAGGTTAGTGGGATTGTTTTTTAATAGTTCAAAGCTGTATTAGAGCATAAACATTTCATATGGTACACATTATATTTGAATAGTGAATGAGATGAGTGGATTAAGCCAAGCAAGAGAATAATCAAAGTTCACTTATTGGCTAAGTTGAATCATCAGTGAACAGTATGATGAACTGAAGCAGTCAAGCCTAAACCAGTACTGCCCTTCACACCTTTTAAGTGCGCTGACCTTACCTGAGCATGTTCCTCAGCAGTAAGAATCCCTGCTATCATGGGCATCCATCTTTTCAGGTAATCTTCCAATAAGTCTGATCCTTTCTCTATCACCCCTCCATTTTGTCCTAGTTCTGCTTCTTCCTGATCTATCTCCTAGGTCTTTTTTCTTTCTGTGTTGCCATGCTTAATTTTCTACTTTGTATTCCTGTCTGGGGTACAGTCTACTTGTACAGCAAACCCTGAACAAGTTTTCCCCAGTCCCTTATCTGACTATCTCCAGCTCCACTTGACCACCTATCCACCTGCATCTTCTCATTCTGCCAGTGCAGACTGCCCTTCTTTTCAACTTTTGATTCAATTTGTTTCTCCAAACGGGTCTCCAGACCATCGGAATCACTTCGCCAGCCCGACTTCCACTCCCATTCTTTCACAGATGCCTTGCACAATCTCAGTGTATGATCCACGTGCAATATGCTTCTTTTTGTCCCTCATCCTTTTATCATCTCCTATCCTACTTTGTCCAGGTGTTCACCGTTATTATGTCAGTTTTTGGCTTTTGCCCCAAACTCTTTCATCCTGCCACATTGTTTATAGTCGGTCTCCCCATCACATTTAATGACTCCCAGATCTGTCATTTTCTTCCAAATTACTTGTTCAGTCAGTCTGCCTCCCCCCCTCCACTGGCTCTATGTATCAGTCTACCCCCATATTTCGTCAAGAGTTCACATTATTTTCTGCATTTAGCTCAGACAGCTTTCCTTCTGTTACCTACCAGAAGAGGAGGAGAACACTCGCAATGTAAGAGGAACAACTGAACAACGCAACAATACAAAGCTGCATTACAGGAGAAATTCTGCTGAATCCCAGATAGCTCACACCCACATGAGTGATCAAATTTATTAAACTCTAAGTTTGCAAGTTGCTCAGTAGAATCTTAAGGATTCTTAGGCCAAATTTAAGCAGATTTATACAGGAACAGACAAGTATATTGCAATACAAGGACACCCTTCTGTCAAATTTCAAATCGCTCCTCCTAAGTGTAAGGAAAGTACCTATTTTAGTTTCTTTTCTTCCAAGTAATCACCATTTTTTGTCCCCACTGAGTAAACAGTATAGGGGTTTTTTTTAGCCTTTAACAAAAATGAAGGAAGCAATTAGCATAGCACATTTCTATTCTGCTATTAAAGGTTGACGCCTTTGTTGACATCTGAAAAGAGGCCTACTAACGGGAAGCATCAAGTCACTGGTACTCAGATAAAATGACATTACATTCACACTTTTAATAAAGGCAGTAACTAGCACATTCCCTATCTGCAGGTTTAGCAAGTCCACATAAAAATTGTCATCCACTATATCCTGGAATAACTTTTGCATAAATGCTTTTTGAGATTCTTTAATTTGTGGTCTTGACTGCCTTCCAAGTCAAAATACATCCTCCTTCTTATTTTTTTTTAAATTCACTTTGTACCTTTTCACTAGTGTCTGTAGGATCCTCACACTTGAGTACTTAAAAATGGTTAAACTTGATTGTGCTAACATTCAAGTATGTATTCGTATCTTGCTTTATCTTTTGGACAGTTAGTTGAAAGCATTAGCTAAAATTATGCTCTAAAATTTACAGTAGCTTTAGGAAAAATGGACACATGGCTAGCAAAATTCCATATTTTTCTTACCTTTTGTTATTTTTGGAAATTGTTTCCATGTCTTAAAAAGTATTAAATGGGGGTAAAAAAAATACTTTGATATTTCAGTCGATTTCTAAGATCACCATACTTAAAGAAATCCACAACAACTATTTGATTTTGAGTTACATAACTTCTGGGTACAACAACATCTTATAGATTTTTACATGATTTCAAATTCAGTGCTTTACTGTCAAAAGGTGCTGATACTATACCAGTAAATTCTGGGCCAAGATATTCTCTAGAATATCAGACATTTCTCAAAACAAATTGTGATTTATTGACTAAAAAAGTTACCCATTTACAGGTCTGATAAGACAACAGCAAGAACAAGATGAAACGCATTTCACATTAAATAATTTTGATCTTAATTTGTAGAGTACATAACTTTTACATTTATCCCACCTCAAAAGTATATCAGAGTTCTGATAGTTGTAATCTTTGAGGCTAAAATAACATCCAGAAATGCTTATTTTTCTGAATAAGTGCTGATCAACAAATGCTATTGAATGAAATGCTATAATGCTACATGAACTAATTGGTATCTTGTCACACAATACTACTTAGCAACCATACATAAACTATTACACACTTATAACAATCTCTTTTCTTTTCTGGTATATTTTTAAAGGTTGGGCTTCAACAGGGAAAAAGGTGTTCTGAAAACATCTTCAATTTCTGTCAGTTTTGGAGTTTTACATATGAAAAGTTTATGCAATATAAAATTAAAGGTAACTTAAAATAAAACTTCTGTTGACGTTGCTTTAAGAATGCTTTTTAAAAATGCAGAAAATAACATGTGAATGGTTTTATTAAGAACAGCGCGATGGCAAAGGAGCACACGAATTTTAAAATAAAACTTCCAGAGGTTAATTTTTCAGGAGTGCATAAGGACTCAATCTTGCCCTCTCCAAACACTGCAGGTGATGTATAACGGGCACACTAAAGGGCCAGGAAGAAGTGAAATCTGAAACTCTGATTTCAGTACCAAAGTCTCTGTAAACGTCTCCAAAATCCCCACATTAAAAAAAAACCCAAACAATAAATCAACAGAAAAAAATTATCTTATTGGACAAAAGTTATTTCTACAGTACCTTCAGGGGTGATAGCACTAGGACACACATCTTTTAGCAGATCTCCCAAAGTATGCAACTGTCCTCCTGAAGCAACTGGTCGAAACAGCTTCTGTATAAAAGGTCTCTCTGTTGTTGCCTGTTTTAATAATAAAATAAGCAAAACCAACAATTTAAGAACCATGCAAATATGTAGTATTACTATTTGAGACAGGCAGAATATAGGACAGAACAAGAGGTTGCAGCAGAAGAAACATCTGGCATTTCCATTTCTTTTTTTTTTCCCTTGCATTCCATTCATATCATGAAATGCAGGGGAGTTTTTGTTTGTTAACAACTGAAAGTTGACACTCCAGAAAACTATAAAGATTATTTATAAACAGTGTCATGGATATAAAAGCATTAAACTTTTTTTTTTTAATTTAAAAAAACCCTTCTGTTATGGGAATAGGATCTGCTCGAACAAAACATTTCAATATATTCTTAATTTAAGTAAAACAAGCAGTGAGCACAAACTTAGGTGCTCAACATACACCTATATATTTTACCAAGTCAAAGCAATATTGTAATAAATATCCTATACCTTCTGCAATGGTCTTTTAGAAACACATCAAGCACTTCCAATGGCAAACAAGTACCCTTATAGCTCAAGCCAGGTGAGTTTTTTCCAGTAGATTTTATGTTGAAAAATTCAAACTATTTCAGCCACAAGAAACAGAGTACAATTAAAAAAAAAAAAAGTGTTGTGCTTTGACAGACAACCTAGAGTCTTCTGCCTAATTAAGGAATTAGTCAGATGTAAGAACATATATGCCCCACTCGTGCTGCAGTTATGCACAGGAATTCAGAATGATTTCAACTATGGGTCCTGACAGATCATCATAATTTCTTTCGGAAAGGAAAAAAAAAAAAGCAAATGGACTGGCAGTAACTATTGCTAGTCACTGTCCACAACATAGGCAATAAAACTCCCAACATTGCAGAAGAAGCAAAGTAGCTTATGGGATCTAGAGATACACTTAGTGAAGAAGTATGGTTATGTTAAGGTAATCCCTTTCTGTGAGTATCTGTACAAGCAACCCCAGGGTCAGCAAACATCTAATATTGAAAGGACAGGAAAATGTTTTTTTCCTGACAACCTGACCTCTCCCCTCAAACTGGGCACCTGAGCCAGAAAACAGAAGTTAAAAACCTCATATTCAACCAACCCCAAAATTTTAATCAAGCTCTAAATTATTGCTGACAAATTTCTGCTAGCAGCTAGCTCCAGAAAGCAGCTGATGTGGCCTGCATTACAGGTGACTGGGCTCCAGTAAATCACACTTTCACCACATACTATCTTAATTGGAAAAAGCAATACAAGCCACTGTGCCTTCCAAATTTAGTTTCCTACCACTCAGAAAGTGGTTCCTGTCCTACTATGGTAATTAAAAACTAGAAACAAAGCAACACAACTCAACATCAAGAAGTATTTTATCTCCTGGTGGATTTTTTTTGGGAAAAAAAAAAAACGAAAAAAACAAGTACAGTAAAAAACCTGAAAGTTAAAAACTGATTTTGAAAGGAAGTTGCAATGTGGTCTCTGTCACCTACCTACATGAAAAGCCACAAGTAGTAGATTGACCATGACAACTTAATTGGCATTCACCTCTGAAACAGCCTTATTGTAAGAGTGGTACGCTACCTCAAAGCAATTCCAGGGCAGCACAGTGCAGAACTGTTGACACACAGCTACTTATTGCTTCTTGCCAACGGTCTCCAACAATGGAAAAATAGTCTTTTCCCAGTTTTTCCTTAGGAAGACTGATCAGAAGGAGCTGACTAGCTGCTGTAGTAAATTCTCTATGTCCTCAGGGTTGCAGAATGTGGATACAAACAGTGCTAATGAAATGTCTGAACATTTGAAAAATGATGGGAGGCACACAGCCAGCAGGATCCACCTCAGACAGAGCCACACTTGAGAAGTGAACTCTGGCACATTATATTGAAGTGTACTTCCAAAACATAAAAGCAGAAAGAGAGACCAAAAGCAAAAACAAGATACAAAACCCCTAAAACATTGTTATAGCCAAAACAATTTTCTGTGAGTTTATTTTAAAAAAATAATCAATTATTCACAGAAGTCTACTCACAGCTCCCAAGTGCTTACCCATCTGAAGTAGCAGCAGTGGAAATAAACCAGGAGGAGGATGGCAAGCAAAGGTAGTTATCACCAACAGACTTTTAAGATAAGAATTTCCCAAGTGCATACTGCAGTTTCTCATTATTTATTAATAAATTACAATCAATTTTTGCCTAGTTATCATAACTTAGTGCCAAGAGGGAAAAGGAAAAGATGTGTTTTCTAAAATCTCCCACATAGTTGCTGACTGCTGCAAAGCAATATCCTGAGCTGCTATCATGAAACATTATAGAAAATGAGTTAGATTTTATATTTTAAGTGTTGAGCAATACAGATGTGGTAATGTAACAAAAAAAAAAATCACTGGTCTCCACCAATGTTAAAATGATACAAGTAACTGCACATTGTTTATACAAAGATTGCGGTTCACAAACACATTACCCCAACACACTTACACTTTTTCACTCCTGCGCAGCTGATGCTTTATACGTTACAGAGTCAAAAGAAAATGTCCCATCCTGCAATCTAGAATGTTTACAGGATAACTTTTCAAAGCATCTTAGTCATATAGGAGCCTAAATAATTTTAGAAAAATCTTACCATCGCCCCTTTTGAAGTGAGGTAGCTAGTAACATAAGCCCAACCTGACCACAGCTTTCTACTCTAGTATTTACTACAACACATGAAGGAATAGCCAATGTGAGCAACTGCTTACATAATGTTGTGTTTTGTACAATATTTGCTTAATCAATCATGCAAAACAGTACTATCTGTAGTCTAACCCATAAAAACATCACTGCGTAACTGTTAACTGACAAATGACCAAAATGATCTGAGGGCTGGAGCACCTCTCCTACGAGGGCAGGCTGAGAGAGTTGGGGTTGTTCAGCCTGGAGAAGAGGAGGCTGCGAGGAGACCTTATTGTGGCCTTTCAGTACTTAAAGGGGGCCTACAGGAAGGATGGGGACAACCTTTTTAGCAAGGCCTGTTGTGACAGGACAAGGAATAACAGATTTAAACTAAAGAAGAATAGATTTAGACTAGACATAAGAAAGAAGTTTTTTCCAATGTGGGTGGTAAAGCACTGGAACAGGTTGCCCAGAGAGGTAGTGGAGGCCCCATCCCTGGAAACATTGAAGGTCAGGTTGGCTGGGGCTCTGAGCAACCTGATGTAGTTAAAGCTGTCCCTGCTCACTGCAGGGGGGCTGGGCTAGATGACCTCTAAAGGTCCCTTCCAACCCAAAGCATTCTATGGTTCTATGATTTTAAATAACCGACATCAGGCCTAAAGCATGTATTTGTACAGTATCCATCTTTTTTCCTACTAAGATTATCATAGCTTCAACACAACATAGTGCTTTTTAAATTACTTTATTTTACAGTGTAGGCCCAATGTAGCTGTGAGCTGTTCAAAAGATGCTGGATGCATTTGGAGGATACAATAGGTGAGAGTCAATCGGTAATCGCTGATGACAGAGTAGCAGCATTTCCTTTTGATGACAAAGGAAATGCCTTCAAGTATATGAAGACAATCACCTGGCCCAAAATTTGCAGTGCATTTTACACTGATCATGTCCACAATTTAGTATCAAATAATCAAATTTTTACGAAAGCAAATATTCAACTCTAAGTTAACACGTTTTCTAGAAAGTTGGACTTATTGCAGTTGAAATTTCTCATCTTCTATACTACTACACAGCACCACAAATCTTGTGCTTTGCAGAACAAATGAAGACTTTACTCGTTTAAACAATAACAGTGATAGGAAAGTGACAGTGAAAACAAAGTTACACTACAGTGAGGAAAAATAGATTAAAAGTTACCTATTCAGGTATACTGGCATTGAGAAGAGTTATAGGTGAGGGAAAGTTTTAAGAGGCCCTTTAAGGCAGCATAAAGCCTCACAGGATCAGAGACAAGCTATATAGTTACATACTGTGCTAGCAATTATAACTCCTTTTCTTCCCTATCATGCTGCCAAAAAAAGAGTAGTCAGCTTGCCTGGTCCTTTTCAGAATCAACAGAACATCAAACACTGCATGAAATCCACAATTTAATTAGTCAGATATTTTGTACAGGATGCATCTTAAAATGAAAAACATAACTCACGAACTGCTGCGTTTTAAATCTGGAAAAATCACAGAGTTACCAGAATTTCCATCTAGAGGAAGGGATTTGGGTTTTCTGCCTAGACACTCTGCTGCTACTCTAACAGTATGCAAACAAATAAAAGTTACCATACATGTTGAACTCACAAAGTAAAAAAAGAACTCCTTACAATTCCCACATGTGCATAAGCTGGCAGCCTAAAACCATAAAACTTGAGACTACTCTACATATTCCATCATATTTTCAGTAACTTGTCAAGCTCATAGTCTGTGCTGTTTCGTAATGAACCACTTTACACTAAAAAACCTCTCATAATTAAAATTTATCATTTTGTCTGAACTGATTTAAACTCAACCAAGAACCTTTAAAAGCAATAGTAAGAGTTTGCATAATGAATTAAGTTATTTTATATAAAAAGGAAAGTACAGGAAAATTAACTACTCCCTGAAAAGAAAATTAATTCTATAAATTTTATTTAATATTTACTTAAAAGTACATTTTCCATATATTTTCTAAGATGTCTTCTGCTTTGTAGGAATGTTTTCAATTAAAAAAATCTCAATGCACAATGAAAAAGTGACTAATTGAAAAGATGACGAATAGCTGTAGTCACAGAACCATCACAATACCATGTCTGTCTGAAAGCAAGATACTACAAAGCCCCATCTGAAATACTGCTCTTTCACTGGTGCTGAAATGCAGTTTTTCTCCTGGTATTTCTGGGTGTGTATCTTTGGCTTTTTTTTTTTGCCTTTTTTTTTTTTTTTTTGTGCTTAACATTAGACCAGAATCACAGAGTACTTCATTGTGGAAAAGGCACAAGCAATGTTTCTGGGTTTTTTTGGCTTTTGCGTTTTTGTGTGTGTTGGGTTTTTTTTTTTTTTTTATTGTTGTTAAAAAAAACCCTG